CCCCCCTCCCCCCCTCGCCTATGTCCGAGTTTGTCCTGATTTTCCAACCCCTCCCCCCGGACATCCTTTGTGAATGGCCCCTAAATAATGACCACTCCCTTTAAATTTTATTTAATTCGATTTTAACAGGCTGTCTGCTGTTATATTTCTTCAATACCTGCACTCTCCATTTCAAGACCAAGTGCCTCTTGGCAATAAGATACTAAATCCTGTCGTCTTTTACGATTGTCGACTTCATTTGAGCCACTTAACATTACAGCGTCACGATGAACCTCGACGTTTAAACTACTTGGGTCTTTTAACGGTGGTTTCCAACCATCAGCTGCACTTAGAATAAGACGAGCCATGTTTTCACTCACTTTTGCACCGCTATAGTACACTGTGCCATCTGGCATGACTTTTCTATCATTAGTCCCTAACTTTGCGGAAACGATAACGTCGCCAAGTTTTACCTTCTCCGTTTTCATGCTTGCACAGATCCCGACAAAAAGGACTACTTTTGGCTTTAAAATTTCAGCAGCATTTGTCACAGCTGAGAAATCCTCCTTATTCGATCCCAGTTCACATTTCATTAATGCTACTTTCTGATCACCGTTCACGCCAAATTGACCAAAATCTACACATCTATGTAGCTTTTCAAAACAATCACCTCGTCGATCAGGTTTCATATATGAATAACAAGCATTCGACGCGTGATCATTTTCTGTTATTAGCAGAATGTCTGTCGGTAGTTGCGACTGAATCTCGGCATTTGACCAGTCATACCGTTTGTTATTAAAGTCACTCTCTGTTTTGAGAGTGAAATTGAGTTGTGGTGGTGCCACACGATCATTGCCTTCGCAAGACATAAATATGGCTCTCGCAGAACAGTTTGGAGTTGGAGTGAGGAGTGAACAATAATGACGCACTGTTGTAAATAGCCGACCGGAATTAGTACCTTAATTATATTATTATTCCGGAATTAGTACCGGAATTATTACCCGGGCTCACGCCCTCGCGCTGCTCGGGATCTCATTTAACGAAAGCTCAAATATACTTGCAGCGGGAACGGCAAATGCGTTTTAGAACATAACACAACCTAAATATATCATGTAACGCCTATCTTTAGTAAATTGGGTTTTAGTTGACTATTAGCGCAAACGGGAAGCTTGAAAAGTCATTATTCCCTCGATGATTCTAATTTGATATGCGTTGGCGGATATAGGTGGTCAGTGCTATGGTGCTTCCAATTTGAAGAAATTTCCTTTTTGAAGTAAATTTTAACTAGTGGAAAGTTGTTTACCGTGTTTAAAGGCACAGAAGAGAGTTAAAGGGGCCCTACTAGTGAGGCGGATATGTGTAAAATTATTGATCAGTAGTTCCCGTTGAGGTTAAAAGCATCAAACTTTTACAATTGATGTAGTTTTATTTGCTTAATAGATATTTGAAGTGGGGCCATCGCTATTTTGCTGCTAACTCCTGAAAACGGGTGATTAGTGATTATCTTCTATTGAGTTCTATAATAGCCAAAACATTTGAAATTTTGTATTCAATTACAACAAATATGACTTGCATCATCAGAAAGCTTTAAAAACTGCATATAAGACGTTTAGACAGTTTTTTGATTTCTGAAATAGTTTTCGAATTATAAGCTGTTAAAAACGCATTTTCAAACATCAAATAATGAATTATAGGGACTTTTAGCGCGGTAATGTGCCTAATTTAGAGCAATAACCATTTGAAGAATAAAAAAAACTGTTTAAAAGTCTTTTATGTAGTTTTTAACAAGCTTTCTGGTGATGCAAGTTATATTTGTCGCGATTGAATTCAAAATTTCACATTTTTTGTTGTAGTAGAATTTAATAGCAAATAATGCTAATAGCATCGTAATTCTCTAAAAAAACCGGTTTCACGATGGCCCCACTTTTGCATGTTGTTCTACTCATAAAAAGATGCTACTGTGCACAATTTGGTGCTTTTAACCCTCTTCGGAAACATCCATGCACATATCCGCCACACTAATATATATATATATATATATATATATATATATATATATATATATATATATATATATATATATATATATATATATATATATTTTGTGT